GGTGAAATTGTTTATTATCACCGAACGATGAACTCTATCACAATATAACTTGTTCTTTAGCTAGTGAATGTAAAAGGCACAATTATTAATAAATTTAGATAAATTTAATTAAAACTTCATAAAAACCATTTAAAAGTATTGAAAAATATGTAATTAGTTATTTTCCTTGTTTTTTTTAAAGAGTTCTATTTCAAGCTTGAACACACTCTTACAGTTCGTCGCAGATTGGGACGGAATTATTAATTTTCATGGAGTTTAACGTCCTACTTTTCTCTTTCACTTAAAAAAGAGCCGTATACAAAACCAAAAAATTGTTTGAAAGAAGTGTATGGCTAAGGGTTGGGCATAATGAACTGGTGATGGGTTCGGTTCTGCCAAATGTTTAACGTCGCCCAAGGATGAACCCTATTGTTAAAAATGGGAAATATCAAATATGAGGTATTGCTATTTTATGGGATTTTTATTCTCAAATCACCTTAACACCGTTAGGATCCAACATTACAATTTAGTGGAAATATACATTACTTACTCAGTGGCTCAGATTTGACTGGGGTGAGGGGCACATTTGACCCCTTTTTGTCTTTTAGAGGGCGAATTTTTGATGAACATGATGAGTTTTTGAATTCAAAATCGTTATTTTGAATATTTAGGTAGTTTTAAGCAATTTTCGCCGAAAGAAATATCAACTCAGACTAATTTTATTTGCCACGCTTACCACGCCAGTGGTATTTGCCACGCTTACCACCCCAGTGGTAAATAGCCACTGCCAACTCGAGTCAGATGTATTTCTGGAAGGTAATTGCTACTTAAATTTTGCTATTTTTTTTATTTATGCCATTGTGTCGAAGATGACGTACCATAAAGAAGAGATCATTTTATTTGCCCAATGGGACACAACTCTTTAATTCCCTGAATATGTCTGATCAAATTTGAAATCCAATTTTACGTCCCGCTTTTTTTGCCCACGTTTTGCCTAATGAGGACGGGTGTTGTGCAGTGAAGGAAATTTTGCCAGGACATCAATATTACAACATTATTTCTGATTTCCAACTGAGAAGTATCCTTTTAGCGAACAGCCTGCAGTACATACCATCTTGGTTTATTGTCCCATTAAAAACAACTCCTGGCCAGCCCCTTCAACCTGCATTCAAATTCCGAAACATCTGCCCCTATTCCATCCTCTGGTAGATATTTTGATATTGGCTTGAGTAGCCGACATTTCAAAACAGCTATCAGAGGCTTGATAGAGAGGTATACTGTAGGTTTCGATCCGATTTTAAAAAGTAGCCTCTTTATAACCAGCTGATTTCCAATCGCCGACATGTTTCACAATTAACAGAATCTTTCTTTTATAACGTCTTCTAAAACAAGATTTTGCCACCAATGGAGCTTATATTAAAGCTATTCATATCACTTTTGCGAATCGTTATATACATACTTAGTTATTACCGTGTGACATTAATATCAATATTTGCTTGCAAAAATGTTAATTACGCATAGGAACTAACGACAGTCTTCAATTCAAGCAAGTTTTTATTCTATTTCTGTGAGAACAAAATGTCCAAGATGTGGTACCTGTAATATCATTTTTAGTTACTGAAATATTTAGGCGACATATGACTGACATTAGAAGCAACAAATCTACAAAATGAAACAAATCAAACGATGTTATTTACGTCCGAGTATAGATTGCTAAATCTTTGGGATGAGACATTAAATTCTGACTTGAAGTTATAAACAATAATAGCTGGTCCCAAGGAATCGTTTGGTCCTAAATATCTTGCATAAACAATTTCAATTAATCTCTAAAATTTTCTCAACTTAAGCCACATAATTTGAAATAAAAATTAAAAATAATAATACAAACTAGAGATCTCTTGAATCTTAACAAATAAGTAACCAGATGTTAAACAAAACGGCCTACTTGGCATAGCAAATTATACTAATCGTTCATGTGAACATCAAAAAGAAACAAAAATGTAACAATAGAGTTGTTCTGAGCTCTGTAAAAAATTCTGGATTTCCCGACATAAGATATGTCTAGTAGTAATCATGAGAAGAATAGCTGCCATCATCTCTTCGGTAGTGGAACTGTACGTCTCGGGCCTGGTTCAAATCTATATCGCCAGGTTTAACATAAATACTGCGTCCACCGGGTCCGGGTTGTGGAACTTTGGTCAGTGAGCCTTTGGGTAAGCTCATCTGTATAGCTACATCAGTTTTCCCCATGTTGGGTACCCAGTTGCCATCATAATTATTACGAGCTACCCGAACTGGGTGATTATTGGGTCCCATTCTTGTCAGGTACGTACCAGGACATCCCTGGAAACATCTATAGATTGGTAGATACGACCGGTTTGTTGAATGTCCTGTGCTGCCTCACGAGTCGTATGATGATAGTAGGTACCATATCCATAATTGTTTCCTGAAATGCAGTAAAATGAAGTGTAACGTCAGTTATCTGCAACAAATTATATTAGATCAAGCTTGTTTCCTAAACCAGTTGATTTTACTGTAATATGTAAGGGTCCAGTGTGAACCTTTTATTGCGGCCTGGTGTAAAGGGGGCCTGATGAAGTGGTATTGGAACGGTTCACAGCATGGACTGGATGAATTGGTACACTTGTAAACGACCGTTACCCTTTCCCGCAGAATTTGCCATTAATCAGCGCCAATGTTGTATAACCAAGTTCTTAATTGACGTGTCTGTGACCGCAATCGTCATCAACAATGCAACTTTAATTGAGCGATAAATTCAAAAAGGCCAAAAGTGACATATTCCTTACCGCTAGCACCTTGCTGTTTGTTGTAAGACATTGTTAAATAATACTGGTTTGTTTGATATATAATTTCTTTCAATCTGAAAAACATAAAATAACAATTGAATAAGACCGACAAAAGGGTTTCTATTTGTGTTTATTTGCAGTTTCTCTTTGTTGAGTATACGGCACTTTTTTCCTACCTAATACTAATTCACAACATGGCGGTTTTTACCAGTAAAATACCATACCACCCATCGTTAAAAGAAATGTTTACGGTCTGAAATTATTGGTAACGAGAATACACCTTCACATTTTGATGTGAGAGTATAAAACGTTTAACATGCTAGAACATTCTCACATTTTTAGTAGGTATTGTTACAACATTAAAGGGTCACTGTTTGACACGAAAATGTTATATTTCTTTCCGATTGCCCACTGCCTCTGGCGATTAGCGTCAAACTCATCAGCGTAAGAGGTACTTTTTTTTGATATAAATTGACCCCACCATGTCAACTATAGTAATTTATGACTGATCCATTTAAATTTGTCTACAGCCGTTCGAAAAACAGTACTGGTCGGCCTACAGACAATATAACCATATCAAATAACATACAGATGTCAACAGGGTTTATCTGAGAGATAAGACGACCGCGCAATGTAACAGATAGTTCAGACAAATGGTTATAGTATTCAGTGAATACATGGGAAATATAACAAACACAGGATAACTTTCCAAACGACTTTTACATTTGCTTCATGAGATTAACATAACATTTAGCCACCGCAAGTTTGAGAATTGGAAGCGTAGAGCATATAACAAAATATACGACGAAATGAGGCCTTTTGATTGTTGTATATAAATCACTTCTTTAATATCAGTGGTTTGTTTATATTTTGGACGAATTTCTATAAATGACATACATCGAGGTTCATGTCCGATGAATTTGTCGTAACAATATTGATAACCTAATAACCCGTGCGATATCAATATTTAAACACAATAGAAATGTTACACACAATCATATATTTCATGTATTAATATTGACCAAGGTCCAGTGTTAAAGGGGGGCTGGGGGGTAATAAAATTCTGCATTTGTATTAGGGACGGTGCGACGGCATCAATTTGTACCATTCCAATTTTTAACCATTCGTCTGTGGTTCCAGCAATTCCACTTAAACTGAATTGTATGATGAAATCACTATTCGCGAAGGTCCTTATGTTATAAAACATAATTTTACGATTGGTGGCGTCATCGAATATTAATTTTTTGTAGAATTGCAGGAGCCACAGACGTCAGACTGAAAATTGCAATGGTGCAAATTAATGCTATCAGTCTCCCGATACACATAATTTTTTTTTAAGAAAACCTCTTCACAATCCCTTTAACAATAACAAATTGTTCAACTTTCGAGACATTAATTAATCATTTTAACATCATTATATCAAACCAGGGTCATTTAACGAAAATTACCGAACTTGATCGATTAAATGACAATATTATGCTAATCCATGCATATTGCCTATTATTTGCAATAAGTTTTTCAATCCACTTTAAGCCTATCGTACTTCAGGTTTTAAAACTATAGTTTTTGGGAGGCTTGAAAGAATTCAGTCGCCAGAATATCTCGTTTCCATAACATATTCTTAAATTAACATATTATGACGACAGTAATCGGTCAATAATATCATTGTCAAACTTCTGCCGTGAAGATACCATCGTTGATTTCGTAAATTCGTGTACCTCGGCTGTTCTTTCATCACATACGTCTGATTTTTCTGGATAAGCCGAGCAAGTAAAAAGTTTCTTAGATATTATAGGCCTAGACCATAAAACAGGTTTTAGAAGATTATTAAGTGTATAAGTGAACCGTCATAAGCATAATGCATAAATAAATCAAACTACTTACTAGAATGAAAAGTTGTCCCCACCCACTAAACTATATCAAACACCGTCGACGTCAGCGATTACTTCTCACTAAATGATAATGTTATAAAAACGTGCTGTGAAAATTTTCGTGGGAATGTTCTAAGCAATTTGATTGGCTGATAATTATATCAGGTTCTAAATATAGAACATTGGGAAAATAAAATATTCCAGATTGGGACTTTATTAAAGGGAACTAATTCATGTTCTTTCCAGACAACAGCTAATGTACATTAATAATTATCAGATCCGTACGGCTCTGAATAATTATATTATACCGTTAATGTATAAGTCTGCTTTTTTGGGATTTCGGTCAAGGGATTTTAAGTTGATGGAACACTACACGTTTAGTGTCAGTTAATAATATCTTTGATTTAGGTACAAAATAAACATCTCGGTCGGTCAGGTTAAGTCGGTTTGGTAAAGTAGCAGGCAATTGCATCTCTATGGCTACACCAACTCTATCCTTAAGTTGTTGCCAGTTGCGATCATAGTTATTCTTAGCTACATCTTCTGGGTCGTTGTTGGGAGCCATTCTATTCAGGTACACACCTCGTCCAAAAATCCCATCAGTGGTTTTAGATGGGTTAATACAACCTGCTGCTTGGATTCCTTCTGCTCCCTCAAGATTGGTATAATGATAGTAAGTTTTCCTGGTATTATGATAATATGGAGTTTGTTCAGACATTGTTTTTCAATTTTTTTCTTTAAATCTGGAAAATATTGCATGAAACAGACATAAGTATTATTTCAGCAACGGCGAAAATATTTTCACATTCAAATACAAGGACCACGTTAACATTTAAACTGAGTTCTAGTGGGAGTATATATAGATGTAAAAATGCCTTCTTTTCAATAAATTTCAACCAAAAGTATGCTTTGAAGAAATAATCCTTGTCCTTGACACTGATATAAGATACTAATGACAATGGATATTCGTGAATACAGTCTGGGTACATAGGGTACAAGTTACAACAAATATTCTGTGTATCTAATTCTAATATATATTCAGTTGCATGCATCTTAAAGACATCAAAGACTTTCAGCAGTATTTGGAGTTGATGTATCTATTCAATTCAATAACTTTATATAAAGATAGTTTTTAATCTTTTGACTAAAGATATTTATCAGTACAGAAACAATCACCAGTATACAATATTGAACCTTCAGTCTTTTCTACACTTCTTTTAAACTTTTTGGGGTGAAACTCAACAATATATTTAAGTTTTGTCGTCGGGAATTCTAAATTTTACACCCACTGGTAACAAATCTGCCAAAACGGTAACAAAACAATAATTTGGATAAAACGGTATCATATCAAACTGACGGCCTCGTTCCTGTCATAATATAAGGTTGAAGATACTAAAATTAGGAAGTCACAATATCGGGTGATGGCCGAAATATTTTCCGGTGTTTATTTAAATAATATCTATATGGTTATGCCATATGTTGAGATTTCCCTTGAAAATTGAAAAAAGTTCATTTTATTTCCATATTCGGTAATAAAAGTACCCTATACTATTCGTCAATGTCAATGTATGAAAATACAGTATCGAATATGAACAGTAATGTTTTTTTTATTTTACATCTTTTGTTTCTAATAAATTGAAACAATTTGAATAAACTAATTAAGAGATTTAGGGACAAAAAAAAAACAACAACAAGATAACGTTAGTTGTTACTCTTTTGGTTAATTACAATCTGTATTGAAAAAAAATGGAGGTTATGTTATAAATATATAATATCAACTAGGCCTATAGAAACTATCAAAATGTAACCAATATATATACAAAACTACAAAAATATCAAACAAAAAAGAACACTATCACCAATACACAACTCCCCCGTGAACCCCCGCAACGCCAAAGCCCAAATGACAAAGACCTAAATTATTCTCATCTGATTTAGGATATAAAAAAAAATTTGTCTTATCTTAAAACCCTCCAGTTGAAAAATGGCAGTTTAGATGAAGGCAGTACTTGTAGATTTGATTGGCAGCTTTTTTTTAGTTCCTTATCGGTATTTTTGGATTGTATTTAATTGTTTGTACATTTATTTGAACTTATATATAATAACAAAATGATAAAAATATTATACAGATCTACATTTTGTTTACAAAACAGTGGTATGTCACCCTCTCATTATCATCAGGGCGAGACGACTCGCACTTAAGGTTTTAACGTATGCCCTTTCATATTCAAAATAAGTAATGTGATTGCTATATAAATTCACTATTAATAGATAATTATTTACGTAACCGAGGTTTACATATTAGTCATCATAGGCGTTTATTTTACTCAAATCCGAACAATAGTTTTCGAACAGCTTCCAAAAAGCAGAACTAATTTTAAAACCTTACGTAATGTTTTAAATATTTTTGGAATTTAAAAATTAACGGCTGGATTCATTTAGTTTAAACTTTCAGATATGTTTAAGGGCACATTTCTCTAGATTTTGGTGTATAGTATTCATAAATTTGAGCCAAAAAAAATATTGCGACTGAAAATCGTATTGCGATACATGTATTTAAACTTATAAACAATGCGTGTGAGAAATAATCTTTACTTGTTAACATTAAATTATTAAATATTAAAATAAATATTATTATGTAACTTTCACAAAACCATAAATAAAAATACAAATTTGGCACGAACTAAAATCACAAATTCCTGATGCATTGCCCAATCTTCAGTTTGATTAAACCTAAAGTTTTTCACTGTTTTCGTTTTTATGTTAAGCGGAATTTATAAAGAAATTGAACCACTTACTTTTTACTTTCCACTCAGATTCAGAGATTATATGAAGCACTGACTGCGATTACTTCTCATTAAATGCTGATGTAATATTATAGTTCTATGTAAAACGTACTATCAAAATTTTCCCAGGAAATATTTTAAGTAATTTGATTGGCTGATAATTATCTTATGTTGCTATCAGCCGATAAATTACCTTACTTCTGATGTATTTGAAAATTTTGGTCAAAGTGAAAGTAGACTAAGTTACCGGTTATACTCATCCGCTAGAGTTTGGCAGGTGCGTCACAAAACGACTATTTTTAGAATTATCCTTCAGCCTTTAAGTCTCTCATCATCTCACCAAATCTTAAAGATAATGCAATTTCAGACATCAATTTAATCTAGGCCAAAATTACTCAAACATAGGAATGCAAAAACCCCCAAAAGAGAGAGAGAAAGAAGATTTCGAAAAATAGACTAGACCACATTCGATACAATCATTTGCATAAAATGTTTTAGTGGAGCGAGTCCTATACAGTGGTGTAACCTATTTTCGTGGATATAAGGATTCAACACCGAATTTCGTCAAAGTTAAAAAAACGAAAAAAAAATTTAATGTCTTAGATGTTTCCTCAGATATTCTACAAAATAATAGAAATTGGTTTATTTCGATTTTCTTAATGAATCCTTCACTTTGACCCATATTTCATGAGCAATTAACTCAGGAATGGCGGCAGAATGCGTCACCTATTTTCGTGTACAATGTTTGATCTATAAATAAGTCTAGAAAAACACGTTGTATGGATACCGGGTGGTATAATTAACTTCTCTTAGTATTTATCTTTAATATCAATTCATTATAACTAGTGGCAATTCCTTCAAAGAACCACGATTTAAAAAAAAATAGTGACTGACAAAATAAGATACGTAGCGTGATTTATTGCTAAAAGTCACTGAAACAACATAAGAATATGGTCCACTTTGTGTTCCATAGAAATTTTCTGCTGACACGGAATCCGCTAGTTGATCACGTGACTTCATTCGGCCGATAAAAAAATGGTGACGTTTGGTAATAAGTGAAATCCGCCATTTTGTATTTGTCAAAGTATACATTAATACTTTTTACCTTGCTTGAAACTACTGAATTCATTCTACTAGCTGACATTGTACAGAAAACCCATGTTTATTAAAACAAACTAATGCGGAGGTCGCGCAAGGTCGCTCACGTAAATTATTAATCATTTCGGAAAATCCACGAATAATAGGTTTCCACGAAATTAGGTTACTTGACTGTGTATGTAGCCATTTTTTTGCTTGCTTTAATTTGTTCTATAACATCTGTGAAACAACCTGACCAAAAAATATGCAAGTAAACCTAAAAGTAAACCAGTGGTACTGTTTTTACTTTTGCCCCCTCTTTCCTAATACAATCATTTTCATAAAATGTTTTAGTGGAGCGATTCCACAACAGCTGGTGTATGCCTATAATGATAGAGAATAACTGTCAGTATGTCTACTTTTTGAGTATCTGTCGAGGGATTTTAACCTGCAAAACAATAAGTCTCAGTTTACTGTCCTATCCAATAAACTAGTCATTTTTTCAATGCCAACTCTCCGAGTTCCTCTACTGACAGGAGACTAGAATGGTATTCAAAGGTATAACAGGGCATCTCCTTGACATGCTTGATTGATTAGTCTATTACATTCCAATGAAGATACCATGGTGACGATTTCAAATTTAAATTGGTCAGTTGGATAAGATTACAAAAAGAAATGGGTTTGTATGTTCTATTTCTACACAAGAAGATCGGTAGGCTAATGCTATACAGTGGGCAATGAGTAAAACTTTGCCAGGACAAGTGCAGTATCCTACTTTTTCTCAACGATTAAGAGATCTACGCTATTCAGAGACTTTAGCACAGTTCCTGCATTTCCACTAAAGTAAGCCTTATGAGATAAAGCATATTTTGCCATTAGAGACGTCACTTATTTTTAGTGAAATAGCAGGAACCACAGAAAATATAGACAACCTCTTAACAATCTGTTTAATTATGATCAGTGACCTCACTTTGTTAATCAAAGATTAATATATTAGAGCAATAGCCAATGGGCCAATTTCGACTCAACTACTCTGAATTATTCAGGTAATATTATTGAAATAACTTTTGATTTGGTATTGGAACAAAGAGACTGGTTTAAAGAATTGGTTTAATATACAATAAAATAATATCACAGAATATAAGGTATGGATCACCAGTGACAAGCTGATAACTTACATTAAAATTACATTGGTAATATGCCAAGTTACTATATCAAATCTTCAATCTTCAAGACAGTTACATATTTTCCATGTTGGATTATAATGTTTTTATTTTAAAAAGTTTCAAGCAGTTCAGCAGTTAATAGAAAGTTTCTGTACAATCCTGGCCACTATTTTCTAAACGGTCTAAGCCATAGGATATCCTAGAAGACCCAAGACATCCTAGAAACAATGTTAGAAGATAAGACTTTGGGACAGCCTAGCACTAAGATCGTTTTGAAAATACTAGACCTGGTAATAGAAAGTTTCTGTACAATCCTGGTATTTTTCAACAATTTGGCTAAACGATAAATAGGTCAAATCATAATAAAAATAGACTATGTTTGCTATAAATGATAGCTATATTTTACCAGTCATACTCCACTATCTCTGATAGTCAGTGATTTTCATGATTTCACAAATTTACTTAAACTTGTGGAATATCTAAATTTATAATGTCCGAAAATAAACAATAAATTAGATTCCCACCCCATGTCCCAAACACCCCCATTTCAATATCACACTCTCTACTTCTTCTTCTTGCCTTTCTTTCCTTTTCCTTTCTTTCCCTTTTTGCCCTTCTTTTTCTTGCCGTAGGGTCCAAATCCCTTCCGTACCATCAATCCTCGCCACCAGGCTTGTACCTAAAAACAAAGATAAGATGAGCTGAGAACAAGTACTATCCTTGTTTTTAACATTGCCAAAAGGCTCAGTCAATAAATTTATTGGACCTCTATCAAACTTGTTTACCAACAGGAATCCACTAATTATTTTGTTACTTTTCAGATTAAAAACGAAGATTCCAGTTCTTTGAGCAATACTTCCTCTTAAAATGAACATAAAATTTCCAAACTGGGTCTATAATAAATACCTTTATAGCTCCTCTTAGTTCTATAGCTTCTAATTCATCTTTTCGTCTCACTTTCTCTTTTTCTATTCTATCTTCTACTACTACTTGTTCATATTCCTTATACTGAAATAGAAGCATAGGTTGAGGTTTCAGAAATTGGTTCGAAAATTTGAAACACAGAACAAAAAATTGAATAGTAATAATAATAGTAATAACTTTATTGAATACATACAAACAAAACTAATCAGCAACAATTATACATGCAATATAATAACAAAGAAATAGCTAATTTCTGTTTGGTATTTTCACTGTTAAAATACTAATAGTGATCAATACATCAATTGTAGAGCAATATAGAAATACCACTGTTAAAATAGTGATCAATACATCAATTGTAGAGCAATATAGAAATACCACTGTTAAAATAGTGATCAATACATCAATTGTAGAGTGATATAGAAATACCACTGTTAAAATAGTGCTCAATACATCAATTGTAGAGCTATATAGAAATCCCACTGTTAAAAAAGTGCTCAATACATCAATTGTGGAGCAATATAGAAAAACCACTGTTAAAATAGTGCTCAATACATCAATTGTAGAGCCATATAGAAAAACCACTGTTAAAATAGTGCTTAATACATCAATTGTAGAGCCATATAGAAAAACCACTGTTACAATAGTGCTCAATACATTAATTGTAGAGCCATATAGAAATACCACTGTTAAAATAGTGATCAATACATCAATTGTAGAGCCATATAGAAATCCCACTGTTAAAATAGTGCTTAATATATCAATTGTAGAGCAATATAGAAATCCCACTGTTAAAATAGTGCTTAATATATCAATTGTAGAGCAATATAGAAATCCCACTGTTAAAATAGTGCTCAATACATCAATTGTAGAGCCATATAGAAATCCCACTGTTAAAATAGTGCTCAATATATCAATTGTAGAGCAATATAGAAATCCCACTGTTAAAATAGTGCTTAATATATCAATTGTAGAGCAATATAGAAATCCCACTGTTAAAATAGTGCTCAATACATCAACTGTAGAGTGATATAGAAATATTAAATTAAATATTATTATGCGATCTTCAGACAACTGACCAATATCAGCCGGCACCCCTACAAAAGAATATGTGATTATAAACAGTATTTATACTCACTAATTTGGTCAGTTCTTGTAATCTCTCTAAATCTTTAGCTTTAGAAGCTTTTAAAACATCCAATTCATGTTGTTTACTCTCTACATCCTTCTCATATTTCTCCTGCCAAAAATCTAACTTCTTTTCTAAATTCTGAAATAGGTAAAAATATGATTATTGAAGTTGCCTATTATATCCTACTGTAAAAATTTGTTTAATTCATAGCTTGTCCTTATTATACATTCATAGCAAAAACACTGACAAATGAGCTCCAGAACTAACAGTTCTGATGAATGGATACATTTTTATCTGTTAAATAACTATCAACTTACAGCATGATGGTTTCTAAGGAAAGATTCAATCTCAGCATTAGCTCTAGTTTCTTTATCTATTTGATTCTGTAGATTCTAAAATAACAGAGAAAAAAACTTACAGTTACTTATAAGTGACAATATTTTCCTGGACATCAAGTGCATTTGAAATTAAGTCAACCATCATCCAGCCAATGAGTTTGATTGTCATTTGATAGGCGATTAGGGTCGTTAGGTTCAAATTCAGAAGAATTAAGATGCCGCAGCATGAGCTTCGGAGAGATGGCCGGAGTTGGCTATCGCCCTTAATGTAAGCCTATATTATCAAAAACTTTTTATAAAATAAACTTACATCAATTTCATCTTTCATTTCTTTCTCTGATAAATAACATCTTTTCTGAGTCTGTGTCACTCCAACCTCAGCACATTTCTTTATATACTTCCCCTCCATGTTGGTTTTAGCCTTCATCTCCTGCAGTTGATCTTTAAGATGAGCGATCATCTCTTCACGATTCTGGAGTTCACTTTCTTTCTCTTTTTTAACATCTAATAATTGTTTCTGAAGTTGTCGAACTCTTTTACGCCCATCTTCTTCTCTGTAATCAAAAAAATCAACATCATTGGTTAATATCAACTACAGAATGAAATGTATCTGTTGCATACAGGGCACATAATTAGCTAAGCAATTCAGTGACACATTGTATATGAAATTTTGCTAAGTAACCTTTGCTAATTGAGTATGTCTATTGATGCAAATCATTTAGCAAAAAATCACTTAAATTATGGCAGATATCATACATAATTTCTAAGTGAACTTGCATGAAGTTGGAGAAACAAAATGCATCCAGGTTTTCTATTTCTCATTGAAATGACATTGAAAGTATCACAACTGTATTTCAGTAAATTCAAGATAAAACACTTGTAAAAATTTATAGTTTGAAAGATGTACATACTTCTGAATAGTATTCTGTAAAGCAGCTTTCTTGGCTTTCTCTAGTTTAACAGCCTCTATTAAAGATTGAAATGTTCTGTTGTGTATTAATTCACTCATTGACTCCGACATCACCACTTCTAGAAATGATCTGAAATAACAACAAAGTCCTGTAATCAATACTGGTATCTACTGATTTCTTAAAATGCCATGCATCACTTCACTCAACAGATAATATATATGAAAAAAGATGGTTTGACACGATTTGTATAGTAAACCAATTAGTTAAACTTACTAATTTGAAGTAAGTAATGTCATATGCTTATCATGAACCCACACAAATGATGGCTAAACTCCTACTCCTATTTGACCTTATAAAATTATAAAATCTAGGAATGTGCCTTACTAGAGTTAACTGCATGGAATGCTATTTTAACTTACCTATCTTGTTGTATTTTAGCAATATTATCTTGTGTCAAGGGGTTCTGACGTAACGTGCGACCAAAGACATGAGTACTGTTCTTTAAATCACGACCAGTATGCAGGACATCTTTCTCTATCTGAGCCAATTTATCAGGATTCTGGGTAAATTGTTTGACGTCTAATTTACGAGCTAAAACTGACTGATAGCGGCTCTCTAATTGACGTTGAGAATCAGCTAGCTGATTGACATCATTATCTACTATCTACAATTACAATTAACAATAGACTTGACAATGTAATAGTGAGAAGTATTTTCCCTGGCACCTTTTTTCAATGTATATAATATGCAATAAATATGGATAATCAACATTGTTATATAACAGTGTTTTAACACCCGCTTTCTTCTTCTTTTCTAGACCACTTTGAGTCATGATCTATTATTTATTTTCAGCCTCTCAGTGGATTTAGCTGTTTGTTAACATAATTATGACAGTGTTCAGGAAATATGATGTCAACACACAATATTGTAGTTTCTATTAATCTTTTACATGTACCGGCACTGAAACATTTATAATTTCCATTTGCAACCATTTCACTTATAGAGTCTTAAATTCTTGATAGAGACAGTCAAAAATCAAGACTGGATAGAAGCCAAATGGAATGCACATTAAAAAGACAGAAAAGCCTCCTCAAAATCTTTTTTTATTTCTTACCTCAAATGCATCTGGTCTCATATCAAAAGAATGTGGCATAATCCGGCCCAGTATAGAGAGTTGATCACAACAATCTTCCAGTACTGTTGCCACATGGATGGCATCCACCCCACTCAACATTGGTAATTCTGAGCTCATCTAAAAGAAATAATAGTTGTTTACTATATTCTAACTTTAATTTACATTAATTTTAGGGTAGAGTACAATCAAAGTGAATCACAATTACACATTTTTAAATCAATTTCTTTTGTGACAGTTAGGAAAATGGTACAAAATATTTATTTTATTTTAAAATGTATCGTAGTAAGTTTCTTCAGAGTTATATTTTTAAGGAAAGATATTTGTGGTCATATTGTTCAAATGATGATTGAAACACCCAACCAACATATTATATTATAACTTATTTACTGACTTATTCTGAATCTACTTTAAGTTTCAGAAATTAAATATTAAACTGCAATATATGACAATTTCTTTCAATTTGTATTCACTAGCTTAATTTATTTTACTCAAAATAACGACTCAAAAGTCTAAAACCGTCAAACCTTCCCCAGATAAATAACTGTATAGATTTGATAATTTATCAAGATCTATCAGTTACTTTTTGCTGACATTTATATTAAAAGTATAGCTAAGAACAAGTCTTAATATGATGGGTTCAAAACCTGCTGGTAAAAAACCACGTCAACAACAAGCAAAAACCAGAAGCAAATTCGAAACAAAACCAGCGCACTGTTTAAGCAGAATGTTTGTTTACCCGGCCATTTTCATTTTGTTTACCTTGATATATGTTCTTTAAGTTTTACACCATTTAAATTTACATAAATTCTGACTGAATCGGTGCGAAATATTAGTCAAATTCGCCTTCTTCACACTCTCTACGATTTGTTTATCGTTGCTATCAACGCCATTAAACTTTCGAGGTATGACTTCCGTTTATGTTTTAGTTTCGTATTTCATTTGCAGCTGCTTCAAAATTTCATCAAAAATATATTTTGATAAGCCTTTCTCATCGACAACAAAATAATTGTTAAAAAATTCTTAATAGTTCAACCATGGGATATACTCATCGTTTTAAGAATTTAGATAGATTTTTATACCAAAATTACGTACTACTAGCTCTGTCTTTTCAGTTCGGCCATTAACCAAAACAGGGTTTGTTTCCACGCTTACATGAATTTAAACTACCCATTACAGCCCTTAATAAAATCCTTTCAGTGCTGATTTTTCAATTTTCTCGTAAGCTGATGTTTGGTTGATCCATTATATATTACAAAGGCCATGGATGCCGCGTACATGGTGTGATACATCGCGGATTTTAATGCCAACTATTGTCGCAAACTATCTCAGGCACATTTCCTCTTGTTTAGGTAGCTTTCAATCAAAAGTAAATCACAAAGCCCATTACCCCTTTTCCAATCTGTAACGACTTGGTTGTTGTCTTGCACTTCATGTGAATGGAAGAGCGAGATGCATTTAATTATTAGAGATTATTGTCTGTAAAATGGGTGCCCTATATCTATTCCAGATTCTACTAAATTTCAGCAACATGATAATTGTGATTAGGCCCTTTAGCCCAAAGTTAAGACAGTTTACAGCTTGTCGGTAATTGGCCTAGCTAACCAGTCGGAAAGTCTCTTGGGTTTATCCTGGCAGAGGCTGATTGTACTCTTAGACTCACTTTAATTGGTTGATCAATGTTTACTTATATGAAGTCAATTGGAAATCGGCTCAAAATTACAGTTCAAATTCTTCCCGAGCTTATCATTATTGATATGTCTATTTGAAATTGTCAACTAAAGCCATTCAGTTACGGTACTATGTTTGGTTAGCATATTAAAATAATTTACTTTGATTTATCTTTCAGCCTAAAAAATGTCGGCTGCTACACAGAAAAAGGAGGTGAAGGTACCATTCACTAAAGCTTACAAAAGGTAAGTACATTTCTTGTCATTTCTACAACAGTTTTGGGGTTTTGTCACAAATCCATTTAACTTCTTGCTGGTATACGAGGCATTAAGAATGTAATACTTGAACATGGGTGAATTATTAATTGTAATATGGATAAAGCATATTGTCGTAACTGTTTATGATATCAACTTTAGCCTAGTAACAAAGTAAATATGAGGCACTATTTATCGAACATTGTGATTTAATACTTTAATTGTCACTTTGTAGGTTATTTTCTAAAGCTTTAGTTTGTTATTTTGTAGATCATTTTATTAGCTCTAATTTTGTAGGTTATTTTGTAAGGCTGTATTTGTCGGATACAAAAGAGGTTTAAGAAGACAATATGAAAGCACATCTTTATTAAGAATTGATGGAGTCAACACAAAAAAAGACACCAGTTTTTACTTGGGAAAGAAATGTGCTTATGTATACAGAGTTAAAAAGTATGAACATCTAATTTTGCTTTACTATATCGTGTGCAGTATACAATATCAAACTCAATGGATAGGATATTCCACTTTTTTTTTGTTGAATTCCTTTTTAGATCTAGTTGAGTCATTGAACACATCTGACACTTAGTATTTGTTGAAACAGTCTGTAGCATGGATAGCTTGAAATAGCTCAGTTATTGTGCAGGATTACTATTTGAGAACAGTTTGAATTCTGTCGAAAAAACTGTACATAGTGTATGCACTTCCATTTTGCACTGTATCATAATCCTGCCCTATACACCATTCAAGCACTATTCCCACCTTTGGCGACCAATTTTCTGATCAATCAACTTATGAGGTAAAAAGCTATCTCCAGTGGATACATTTCTGTCACCTGTGATCTTTATTCTATGTTATTGTATAAAATATTGTTATTCCAGAACTACTTCAACCCCTGGTAAAAGAGCAGAACATAAAGTAAAGGTAATCTGGGGCAAAGTTACTCGACCTCATGGATGCAGTGGTACAGTTAGAGCTAAATTCAGGACCAATTTACCTAGTAAGGCTATTGGACATAGAATCAGAGTGGTAAGTCTTTATTTTATTGGTTTACTGAACTACTGGTGCGACAATCTGAACAATTAATGTTGAGTTTTGCATTAATTTTTTCAATAATCATTCACTATTTTGTACTATAATGTATTTCAGGGCAAGTATGTTGTAAATATCTCAAATTTGTCTTGTCAATCTCTTGATTATCTTGATAATATCACTCCATATTTATACACTGAGGAGTATTTTCCAACACCATCTTAGTCTTCAAATAAATATTAGAATTTGGGTAATTGGCAACTAGGGCTGGACGATATTGGTTCAAGTTGATATGACGGTATTAAGCATTAATCTATCCAGATATGGGTAAATAAAGTATGGTTTACAAACAAATGATCTAGAAATTTTAAATGTAACATAAAACAATGTTTCTTAAAACACCCCAGTCATGAAAAAATCTGTTTCAAGTTTCTGTTTTCAGTTACTTGTTAAAATTGTGTAGATGATCTTATCTGGAAAAAAATTTAACAATATATCATAACTACCATATATCACGATATCACGATATTTTGGTATTTTTTAATCAGGTCATATTATTAATATAAATTACCAGTATTTATAGCCCTATAAGCAACTATACATGTAATTTTTTTTCAAAATTTGGCACTCTACAACAATGAAATGAAAAGTTGTTTTTCCTTTACAGTTTCTTATCTATCATCTCTTTCATTTCAGATGCTGTACCCATCCAGAATTTAAATCTTTAAAAAAATAAAATTAAAAAAACTCAATAAGTGTTTTTTACCCCCTAAAGTCCCATGAAAACCACATTGACAGTGGTTCCAATCATGGTGTGACCCCTTGTGGAATGGACTAAACTTTTCGAGTTACTGGTACTCTGGGGCTCAATTGGCTAGTATTTATGGTAAGAATAAATAAACCAAGTACTAACAATTCAGAACCGCAAATTAAAATCCGAAATTAAAAACAACATTTTGACCTAACATAAGTACCCACTAATAAACTTTTCATATGAAGTATATCAAAAGTGAGGAAGCATTTCATAATGAAAACATAAATGAAATATAGTGAGCATGCAAAAGAGCATGGTTGTTGGTAACTTTCAATGACCAAAATAGTGTCTTATCGTAGGTGTAAAACTTCACATCCAACTATTTCCTTGGCTCCTTGCGTGTTTGATTTAGTAGAAATAGATCAATATGAAACCTCCAGATTTGTGAAGTAATCAGATGTAGTTATTGCCGTTTAGAAAACAACATTTTGGTTTAGAATCCGAGGAGTAATAACGCCTATATCACAAGAATTTGTTTTCATTCATCAGTCCTTTCCTTGTGATTGTCCTGTTGTATAGAGGTAGACCTATTGAATGCTCCAATTGATTATTGTGGAATAGTTCGGACTATAGAAGAATGTGTTGCCCAAGTCCTATCTATATTTAGAAACAGTCGAATTGCACGATATCTTTTTGAGTGCACAAGTCAGAAATATTGTCCACATGTTCTCACCGTGTAATATATTGACATGGAAAACCGAGACTATTGATTATGCTTCAAAGTGCCTTGGTATCGAGATTATTGTATGCTATATATATATCTTTTCTGCCGCACGTGCAGACACTTGGCAGGCATTTTACCTACTGTGAACAAGTACAGTGGTGTAACCTATTTTCGTGAATATAAGGATTCAACACCGAATTTCGTCAAAATTAAAAAAACAAAAAAATTTTTTTATGTCATAGATGTTTCCT